AATGAATGAAATTGATCTATATGATGTAACAGCATTAATGCAGAATTAGCCTCAAAATAAAGAAAACCTGCAGATTTGGATATAGAATGCCAAAGGTAGGAATTTAAATTCTACAGCATTTTTTTTCATTTACAAGGGAGAAAAAAGTAATTACACAATTACGTAAAAAAATATGTCCTCCTACTTTTCTAATACCATATTATCTATTCAGAATGTTTGGGGGCTTGTTTGTTTGTTTGGCAATTTTCTGTCAGAAATTGCAACGTGTGGGTAATTTTTAGAAAAAATCATATTATCTGCCACCATCACTATTAATGCTAAATGTATTGGAGACACTAGACTGGTTTGTTCCAGAGTGAGCCACATGTTCAGATGGGATTTGACATTTTTATCCGCCTAGTGGTTCCTTCCCAAGGACCTAAGACAGGCAGATGTTGATATTTGATGATGATAATCACAAGATGTAAGTTGTTCCAAGTAAAGCTCCCTTTTGCACTTGACTGATGGTGAATTTGTCAATGCCAATGGTGTTCAAGTGGTCTCCAGTTGTTTTGGGATTGCACCTAAAATGTCTATTATTATTGATACTACCTTTGCTTTCTTTTGCCACAGTCGTTCTATTTGCAGATCTTTGTATTTTGAAATCTTCTCTAGTTCTTTTCTATTCTGCTGTCTTCAAGAACTGCCACGTCCACTATCCAGACTTTTTTGTCTTTCTTATTTACAATTGTTAAGTCTGGGATGTTGTGTGGCAGTTGCCTGTTGATTTGAATTCTAAAGTCCAGAGCACTTTAACTTCTTCATTTCCTATGTCTTTCTGTATTTTATGGTCCCACCAGTTCTTCCTTGCAGGCAAATAGTATTTCTTCTAACGCAGCATTGTTGCTATTTTGTAGTGCCATTGCTTGTAGTCAGTCTGTGCAATCTTCTTGCAGTAGCTAACTAGGTGATCCAGCCTTTTTTTAGCCTCTTTGCAGAGATGGCTGTGGCTGTCTTCTCGATTCTGGCTTGTATGCATCTGTTCATAATGCTTGGCAGAACTAAAAGCCTTGGATAAGAGGACTATAAAAATAATGACAATGTATCTTATCTTCACCTAAACAGTGATGTTGAGAGACTCTTTTTACTGAGGAAAATATGTGGCCATTGTATATTGCAAATGCATAAGACAGCTAAAGAACATCAGACTCTGGAAAAATATCCGAACAACAATGAAGACAATGCATTAAACCATGAGGCTTAGTCAGTACTGGAAAGACCAAATTGCTTCAGAAGAATGAAGAAGAGAAAATAGACACAGCAAGACAAAATGCTACATGGCCAATACATTAAAAAATAGCAGGTAAAGCAAATAACAAGACCTGGCAATGGCTATGAATAGAAAAAATGAAGAAACAGAGAGGCTACTTCTGGCTGCACAACACCAAATGTGTACAAAGACAGAATTGAAAAGACAGGAACAGATAGCAAATGCCACCTCTGCAAAGATGCTGAAGAAAGTTTGTTTGGTTAGCTGATTAGCTGCTGCAAGATTGCACAAAATAATTACAAACAATGACATGAGAAATAGAATGACTGGCAAAAGAAAGGAAAGGTAGTACCAATAGCAATAGGGGTCTTTTATACAATACCAAAACAACTGAAGCAACACTTAAACACCATTGGCATTGACAAAATCACCATCAATTAATTGCAAAAGACAGCTTTACTCAGAACAGATTACATTCAGTGACTATACTTTTAACCCTATCAAACATCAACATCTGCCTATGTCAGGTTCTTGGGAAGGACTTGATAAATGGATAAAAATGCCAAATCAGTCTAAACATCAGACTAAATATGCAATAAACCAATTATTATACACACACACACACACTACCATGGATTATTATTATTTACAAAATGCATACCCTTATTGTATAATACTGGAGGATTGTATGAGTTCATCTATAAATTTTGGCCTGATTCAGGTTTGTCATCTTTTCCAATCTGTTCTATAAAAGAGGGTGTTTTTTTTTTCAGAAAAGCTTCATGAAAAGTTTACTAATCCATTAATATATGAGTTTTGTTTGTATGCTTTCTAATACATACAATTTTTGAAAGTGATTTCCCTTGACATGTATCCTTCTGGGGCACATTTCTCCCTAAATTATGTGATTTAATATGTATTTTAAAAACATGATTGAAAGACATTATGTTATATGATTGGGAAATCTGAATTGATATGTTTGTATTAAAATAAAGACCATGGTAAAACATCTGTTTAAAAGAAAATGTAAAAGAAAATGCACTGCTCAGATGGCCTACAAGATAATGGTTTGCTACAAATGGTTTATTATTTGCCCTATAGCAAAATGATCAGTTATTGTTTCATTTTATTATTACAGATAACAAGAAAATTCTAAGAAAATGTACCATTTTTTAAGCATTTGATATATTTTCTTCTCTTTCTTCAACTTACATTTCTCCTACAATTCCAGACTTTAAACTGAGAGGAAATGGAATAAAAACTGTTCTTTCCCAAACTTAACTACATCTTCTCTAGAGCTCTATCCTTTCTTTAAAATCACTCACATTTTATATCTCCAGTGGTCTGATAGTATCTGCATTTCTGTATATGAGAAATAATATTTCTCCAGTGTATAGTCTATCTCTGATTGATACCTGAAATATTGGAAGTAACTGTCAAACAGCCATATTCATATATTTGCTTACAGAAAGAAGCATATATATATATATATATATATATATATATATATATATATATATATATATATCAAGTTCTAGTTGCATTCACACAAATACTGTTATTTCTAAACATTAATGGTGGCATGGATTAATAGAAATCAAATACTACATTTACCAATAGCCATTTCAAAAATCTTTTTAAATTGAAGAAGGACAAAGGAAATATGCACATTTAAATATGCATAGCAACATTGGTATGCCTGTTAGAAAATACATCATACAGTATTAATAAAAAAAATTAGAAAGCTGCAGAAACGTTGGGATCATTTGCTGTTCTCCTGTGCAAGAGATGAGTCAGTGCTTTAGTCCAGAACATTATGATTCAAACTTGGCTAAATTTAACATGTGTAGATTTCAACTCCCAGAATTCCCAAAATGCTGGCTGGGAAATTCTGGGAGTTGAAGTCCACAATCTTAAAACTGCCAAGTTTGAAAAACAGTGGTCTAGTAATTTTGTTTAGGTAAGGGTGGAATGCTGTAGCTCTGAATAGGCATTTCCTACTTCTCAGCTAATATTACTTAACGTATAAAGATGAAGAAATTCCAGTTGGAACAAATCTAAAGAAAAGCTATAACTAGGAGAATACATCCACCAGCAATTTGTTTTTGGAACAATCTGGTCTCCTATTTCTAATGTGCTGACCTGACAATAGGGCACATTAACATTGTGTTGTGGGTTATCCAAAGGTTAGTTCTGATGTAATGTTGTTTGGTTTCATTATGAATTATGGGTGTGTGCCATTTTAGGACAAGATGCAAATTGCTCTAGAGAACAATGCTCAGGTTGATCTGTGTAGACTAACAAGTTAAACTAAGAACAAAATGTAACAATAATATTTGCTGATTTCCATTACATTGGAATCTTGCCTTTCTTCAAGCTTACAGTAGCACATTCAGTAATGCTACTGTACATTACTGTACATATTTCATGTTTTGAATATGGTAGATTGAGGGAATGGGATTGATCCATAGCCATTACTAAAATTTTCTTCTAATTATGGTTTGTATATGTTTAGAATAAATAAGTACTCCTATTTATCTCTCTCACCTATGACGTCTGTGAGAATGGCTCTGTACCTATATTATAAGATATATAGCATTTCAGTCTTAGATGTTGACGCATTCAATTGAAAGGTTATTGCGCAGTAAAGATGAAAATTTAGCTCAAGCTTTAATCATTCTGTCCCCAGAAATAAACAGCAGTAAATTCACACACAGCCTTTTGTTCTTCCTACATATACAGATACTATGACTGAACAGATGTGAAGCACAGAAAGGCATGTCATTACATAACACTCTGCAAGTCAGTACAGCAAAATAGACTATTTAAAAAAACCCCACAGGAACTTGGCATTTAATTGTACATTCCTATATAAAATACTAATAAAGGAGGAAGCAAATTCCATTGGAAGTCTTCATCTTGTAATCTCACTTGATTTTATTCTTTACCATCCTTTAAATAGCAACTGCTTGAACTTTTAAGAATTGCTTGCATGTGCATGTCACATTAGACACCCACATATACATTGTTTAAAGCTTTTATCATAACTTCTAAAGGTATGCTTATATCCGTTAATGATCAGAAAGATCATAAGTGTTGGAATAAACAGAATAGTTTTTTTAAAAAAAAAACCCAGTGTGACTCATACCTAGCCAATTTTAGTAAAATACACAAAGGAAATATGAAAGTGATGGATTAGGAAGAGCAGGATGAAGTTAGCTTCCTGTATTTTATATCTTCAACAGCCAAATGCATTGCAATTGAATGATTCACCTGTTGGGCCCCTTGTTTTGTTGATAAAGTAAAAGAAAAATAGAAGCAGCAAGAAATATAAAAATTCAGTTATTTAAAATATTTCTGATACAACAAAGAAAATAGGTAAGAATTTGATATAGATTAATGATGAGGTAGAGGCTAGAAAAATGTTATAAATAGAATCAGAAAAAGGAAGAAGTATCATTTTAAAACAGTCAATATGAAACAATATGTTTTATATGTATCTCACATAAATATATTGAAATATTTCATCCCTATTTAAACTATCCTTTTTCATTTCAGTTTTATAATAACATTCATAATGATTTATTGGCAACCTCCCAGCTGAAAGTTCAGATGATTTCCTTCATGTTGCTATTGGGTTTCCCAACTTTGTGATACAATTCCCTAAAACGATCAATAAATTTAGATGACTTCCCCGCAATTAATAGTTAATTGTGATGAAGATTGAGGAATAAATAAATATGCCACTTACTAAAAAATACATAACTTCCATCACACTTTCTTGATTTAGGTGTACTTTTATTAGCAATATCAGTAGAGTAATCTTCTTTAGCTTCTTTCTTACCATCTAACAAAAAATTTCAATTTTGCAAGTTAAAAATGTAAAATGGATAAAATATATTGAACTTCACTAAAAGGTACACTTTATAATAATAATTTCTATAAACACTTCAGAGACTATGGATATACTATGAGATATCATAGTATAGATAGGAGTCACCAGCCCTCAAGAAACCAACTGCCAATCAAAAAATGTTCAGGCTTGCTCAACTGTTTTGTCTGTGTACACCCAAGCTCAGGCTTTTCCAGGCAAAGGGGAAGTGAGTTTTGATAGCATTCATGCTTTATCTATGCAAGTCTAATCAGTTGAAAAAAAGTTTACAATCTCTATTTTGTCCATGATCTCCTGGTAGACTATGAGTCACAATTTGAGAAACTCCAAATTACAGGATAGAACTTTGTGATGTACCATATAATCCCAGGGCACCATACTTGGAAACCATGTCTTCTAGCTCCTGATAGATAGAAAGATGCAGGTAGCCTTCAACTTATGATCACAGTTCAGCCCAAAATTTCTGTTGCAAAATAAGACAGTTGTTAAATGAGTTTTGCCCCACTTGCAACCTTTTTAGCACAGTTGTTAAGCGAACCACTGCAGTTGTTAAGTGAATCATGCAGTTGTTAAGCAAATCTGGCTTTCCCCATTGACTTTGTTTGTTGGAAGTAGGCTGGGAAAGTTACAAATAAGTGGTCACATGACCCTGGGACAGGGCAATTGTCATAAATACACAAATACAGTTGCCAAGTGCCCAAATTTTGATATGATCATAGGGATGTTGCAGTGGTCATTAAGTGTGAAAACAAGTCATAAGTCACTTTTTTCAATGCCGTTGTAACTCCGAACAGTCATTAAATGAATGGTTATGAGGACTACGACATGATACCAAATGTTACTGAGAATGAGTTGTAACTTTGAACCATTTTCCCAAGCTCAAAGGCTTTAAAGAAGTTGTTAGTGAATCTGAATTTGTTACTGATGGTATGCAACATACTATCTACACATACATTCAGATACATGCACAAGCACATTCTCAAGGCGTCACATATCTCTACATAATCAGTGTGTTGGTTATGGCTTCATAAATAATCTTCTAGTTAGCTATTTTCTGTTTGTACTTCAAATACTAGTTGAAATTCTAAACTAAATTATCAGGAGGTGCTTCGTATATTTCAGTGGTGTCAAACTCGCAACGTCACATGACATGTTGCGACGTATCGTGACTTTGTTTCCATTGCCGGCAATGGAAACAAAGTCACGATGGGGGGGTGCCATTTTGGCATGATGCATCTGGCCCGGCAGTTTGATATCCCTGGTATATTTCATTCTCACGTTGATATTTGTAAAGCATATATCTAAAGATAATTTGATAAGTAAACAAAACACAGAGTCCTTAGAATGATAGCTTCAGGGACAAATGTTTGCTGCATGGTTGATCCAGAGATACCTTTTTTCAGTATTAAAAAAAAGAAGCAACTGGCCTGTATAAATATGAGCTCAATTGTTTCTGTATTATCCATGTTAGCCCTGTGAGCCCATCTGCTAAAATTCTACATAGAGTTTATAAAATTCAATGGGATTTAGATAAATATATAAAGTACCTAATAGGATCAAGAACTATAATAGAGGTCTAACTTTAATAATTAGTATAATAAATTATAGGTACTGCAAATAATACATGTAATAACCTTGAGGAGTTGTGTATGGAGATATAACAATCCACTGGAACTATTTAATTACATAGCGACAACAAGAACAATGTGTAGTAGCAGTATTTGTTGTGAATACAAGAGTCATTATAATGTAGCGGCTAAGCTAATAGAATTGAATCAAGGTGTTCCTGACTATAGGAGCTACTGTCACTTCAAACGGATCATATTGTGTCTGAAAACAATGAAGTTACAGCAAACAAACGAAAAAGGATACAGTAGTTGAAAATGTGTTACACATTGCATTAGAGCAGTGTTTCCCAAACTTGACAATTTTAAGGCATGAGGACTTCAACTCCCAGAATTCCACAGCCAGCGTTACTGGCTGTGGAATTCTGGGAGTTGAAGTCCACATGCCTTAAAATTGTCAAGTTTGGGAAACACTGCATTAGAGGTATGGAGTAGCTTGATGTGGGAATGGACTAAGTCTAATCTCCTCAGGACTATGCGTTTTGGGCAGCAGTTTGGCAATTTATAAAAGTAAATTCTTTGAACTGAAGCAATGAGCCAAACTGTGCCCAAGAATGATGTCATCTGAAGGAGTTTTGGCATGTTCCTGAGGGAATAGAATGGTTCACAATGCATTGGAACAATTCGTTCCTAGACTGATGAACTTTGAAAATCTTTACATCACATCTATTTTTCTGACAAACAAAGCAAATTACACTTTGCAATATTTTCTGTTTTGAAAAATAGAGCTGATTTTCTGATTCTGGAATAAGATATGCTGGAAGGGGGGGGGGCCCTGTTGGATCTCAAGAGGAAGAGGGTATTTCACAGGATAGGGGCTGCTACGGAAAAGCTTTGGTTTAGGGCGTTTTCAGGCACTTCTAGTATTTAAGGCCTGAAACAGAATGTAAATCAACAACATTGGTGTTAGTGGTGACATTTAAAAACTTATGGAGTGCTTATTATAATATACAATATTTTAAGTCTTAATTTCTTCAAACTAGTACAGCAAGTAATTTTTTTTTAGCTTTGTTGTTATAAAATCTATTTAGTTCCTTTCTAATTATGTTTTCTACCTATCAAGAAAATTGTGTGTTTCACATAGGGGGTCAGAAGAGTTTATGTAGTTTCTGGATGTTATGTTCTTCTTATTAGGACAACCACTGTTTGCTTATTTATTCCAGCTGTCCTAAGGGCAGACAAAGTACATCTCTCCAATAGGTAACTGGAATATTTCTCCTTTAGTATTTCATCCCAACACTGTGACTAGTTGAAGATTAATGAATTCAGGATTAACTTCCTTCTTCAAATGCCTCCTAATGAGTTATGAACAACTTGCACCTTGCATTGTCTTTTATTATTTTATACATTGATCTAGCAAAGTACTACCCTAATATAGAACTGAAGGACAGAGGTGGGGGAAATTGAAGGGAAGTTTATTGTAAGAAGCACCAGATTCTAACAAAGAACAGCTGTATACAACATCTTCTTAGAATACTATTTTGCTCAGTGTTCCAGCAACAACAAAGCATTCAGTGTACTGAAATATGGTAATTTTAGCTCTCTATCTTGGGAGAGAATACGTTGTGATCAGTTTTGCTATCATGAGACAGCAGCTCACAAGATCAGATGCTGGGTTCCCAAATCACACGACTGGTAAGGTCCCACTGCCAGGACAACAGTGTAACAGACCATTCCTATAGGCCTTTTCATCATTTAGTGATCACAAGTGATAATACATCTTTGTTTTAAACAGGAAAGCTGTTCCTTTACTAGTGGAATACTTATCTTCTGCAAAATGCTGGCCATGCAAGGGAGTAAGAATTGTGATTGGAGAAATATGTTTTCTGTGATATTTTGTGTGGTCTGGATCTAAGAAATTTTAGTCCCTGGACTTCATATACCTATAGAACTCCCTTTCTGAATTGTGAGCTATTTCTGTTATGAAGCATGAAATCAGCATATGATCCACTATTCCATATTTTATGCTTTATAATTGGTCCTCTTCACTGGAGTAAGGGAATTTGTTTGCCAACCTTGAGAAAGAGAGGGGAAAAAACACATTCGGCTTTTCCAAGATATCCTAAATTCACTTAAATCAAATTGCATAATGGCTACTTGTATTGAGCTTTATAAGCAGATTATTATAGTAGAAGACTATGATAAGTTTTTAAATAAAATAATATAATAAACGTGCACATGCTACTGTAGTTGCTCCAACTATAAAGAGACAGAACAACAGAATAGCAGAGTTGGAAGGGACTTTGGAAGTTTTCTACTCCAAATCCCTGCTCAAATAGGAGACATTGTACTTTTCCAGACAAATGGTTGTCTAAGCTCTTTTAAAAAAACTTTCAGAGATGGAGCACCCACAACTTCTGGAGGCAAGTGATTCCATTGATTGTTTTCACTTCAGAAATTTCTTCTTGGTTCTAGACTGGATCTCTCCTTAATAAGTTTCCATCCATTCCTTCTTGTCCTGCCTTCTAGTACTCTGGAAAATAGGTTGATACTCTCTTCCTTGTGATAGCACCTCAAATGCTGGAAGGCTGTTATCAGGTCATCCCAAGTCCTTTTCTTTATTAGACTAGACATCCCCTGTTCCTGCAACTGTTCTTCATATTTTAGCCTCTAGCTCCCATCATTTTTGGTACTCTTCTCTGCACATTTTTTCTAAAAAAAATAAGGAATAAGGAATGATAATAAGGAATGAATTCTGCACTAAGTAGCCTTAGCCCCAAGAGCTATTGGCACATCCATACCTGCCAAAGTGCTGTTTCTGAGTCTGGTTTCTATCACTGCCATAATTGGATGCTTCCTAGGCAATCATGGTCATTTTATGTTTTTATCATGGTTAGATCAGAGTAAAGACATAACTTCTATATTGGAGGTGGGTGGAGTAGACTAACAACAGATACCTCTATTGTGGATTATTCCATTTTTCCTTCTCTTATATAATCCAAATTGTATGGATTAAACTGTTGTGCTCTGAAACTAAATACAAAATAAACCAAAAAGATCTAATGAATCAGTGTCCAAAATGGTTTTGGACTCATTTTGTATGTAAGCATTTTGACTAATTATTGCAATGATAATACTTTTATTATTTACTTTACTTTTATTTTTACTAAATGAGAATCAGATGAAGAAATGGATATGACATACTTAAGTACAATCTGGCCAACCACATTTTAACCTACTGTGATCTATAAACCAAGCCCATTTTGCCAGTTTATTCTTTAATATGTCATATGAACCCAGAAAAAGTGGTGAATCAAATAAAGCCATAGTTTAACTAAGTACAAATAAATATGAATTGGGAACATAGCCAATAAAATAGATTTTATTAAAGGGCTTAAGAAAAGTAGCCAGAATTAAAATTAATCACCAGCTAGATTCTGGAAACACCACAAAAAAAATCTTAAGTTTTCACACCTCTTTGAATAGTGTGAATCCAGGCACACGAGCATTTCCCTTAGGATGTATTTTCTTTGGAATCAGTACATTGACTTCTGAGCTGAATTTACTCAGAATATATTATTACAAATATGTAAGTTCACTTCAATTAATAGTCATATTTCCTTTTCCTCACAACAGATATCACAGGAAATCATTAGCACTCAAGGACTATAGCAATCCAGGTTTTCTGACTTGTATTATGAGTCCCTTCATATAGCCAATCTATGTGTTTACTATGGATTTACAGGCAGCTGTTACATATAAGCTGGGTTGACAAGATCAGAAATGAGGAGGTGATAAACCACTTGGGAAAGCCAAGGGAAATCATCAAAACAATTAAGAAACGAAAATTAGAATATTTCGGACATGTGATGCGATACCCAGAAAAATACGGCATATTCCATTTAATCCTCCAGGGAAAGATAACAGAACTTAATAGCTCATAATCATTCACGAGCTCTTATCTGTTACTACTGATCTACAACAAAATCATGCTTTGACTATACCAGGGGTGTCAAACTCGCAACGTCACATGACATGTCGCAACGTATCACGACTTTTTCCCCATTGCCGGAGCTGGGGTGGGTGCGGTTTCGGTATGATGCATCCAGCCTGTGGGCCAGCAGTTTGATACCCCTGGACTACACCATTTGTCCTCCTTGTCCCATGATGGTTCCCTCTTAGTTCACCCCATGAGTGAGATAGCCTTGCAAATTATCATTAGCTCTATTGGTATAAAAATAACATTTCCCCATTTATCTTTACACTGCTCAATTCATATTCAAGATGAATAAAATCTGATATACTTTGTGACCAATTATCTTGCAGGCAAAATCAGCTGAGCTGTTGTGGGTATAAATGGAGAGGAGTTGGGAGTGTTGATGAGTGTTGGGAATCTTAAGAATGCCCTTTTCCATCTGGTCACTTGCTAGCTTCCCCAGTTGGCCTTCCCCTCTCCCCATCTGCTGTCTCCATTTACAAGTCATCTAGGGAATGCTTTTCATACTCTTCACTTCCTGCTTTTGACACCATCTCCTCTCCAACCAATCATCAAAATAACAAAGGAGAGCAGAGCAGATTTCAGTTACAGTTATTCACTCAGGGAAGAGAGACTATGCTTTGCATTTTCATAACAGTTAATGTAATAACAATTTATTAAATCTACATGGTCCCCCACTCTGTGAATCTAGATAATTTACTATGGTTAAAATATTAAAAAATAAAAATACAAAATAATACAATCAGCACAAGATGAATAACAATGGCAAATAAGCCCAGAGGGGAACACAAAGAAGGGACATCAATCAATTAAAAATTAATCTTTTACCTTAAACCCTGCTTTTCCAGAAATTGAGGGATGTTGACCTAGTCCTAGGCCTTTCTTGATCACATGCTGCTCTCCCTATGTCAGTGATTGCGAACCTTTTAGAGACCGAGTGCCCACAAACCACCCCGCCCCCACCTTGCCCACCACCCTGCGTCCCGCCTATCCGCAGGGCCACCCACCGCTTCCACGGCCCGCCGCAGATCGCCCAGGCGGCCCAGCAGTGCCATGGTGGCCACACCCTCCACCCGTGCCCTGCATTATCATTAATTTTGCCTAAAAATAGAAATATACTTTCAAATATTCTAACAGAAAAACCAGTACTTTAGAACAGGTACAATAAGGGTAAGGTAGGGTCTAACAATGGAGACAAAAAAATAACATGGTAGCATTGTTTTGTCAGTCCAAGGATGAGTCAATAGTCCTTTAATTAATTAATGAAAAGTGTGGAGTTTTCTTTAACTAATTTACTTCTGCTTATGTCCAAATAACATTTTCCTTGCAGAAGAATCATGAAATAAACTGGGCCAAACATAGAGGAAGTTTGTGCATTACAGTATGACACAACGTGGTTTGGTTTATGTACTAAGAGTGATGTATGAATTCAGTCACTGTAGTTTATAACACTTTGTTAACATGGTTTAACTCATATCACTACCTCAAAGAGAAGAGTGGAGAATCGTGTAAGCTATCTTTAGTATGTACTAGACAATTTGTGACCCACAGACCTTTCAGAGAAGCAGAATGATTGCATGTAGGCAAATAGCAGGAGTGGGAGGAACTTGACTTCCTGCTGGCTTCCCCACTTCCTCGTGGAAAGCTAGAGAGAACATGAGAAATCTTCCTTCCCTTTCCTTTCCTAGTAAGTAGGTAGGTGGTTACTGCATTTGGAGGAGGAAGCAAGGGAACATGTGAGTGGCTGACAGTGTGAGCTCAGAGCAACTATCAGACAATGCACTATTTTTCTATTTACTTTCTCTTTATGGGATTCCCACAAGCAAATTCTTTGCTAGGGTGAAGGTGGCAAGGAGCATCAACAATCTTATCAGTACCTCCCAGTTTCCCATGGACTTGTGGAAAGCTGTCAAGCAATACTGAAAATGAGGATAATGTAACCATGACTGGTGGGTGGCACTATACAGCAAGTACTGAAGCAGCGAAGTGGCCAAAAAAAAACAAAAAAACAACCCACTCCCAAATCCCCAGTCTTCATTCCCTTGGGAATAATGGATCCCAGCGGTCTGTAACCCATTGATTCTCAATTTGGTAGCCATTTGAGGTACTTTTCTTAACAAAATTTTGCCCTTTAATGCAGCATTTATCCCAACAGAAGGTTACAAAGTATCAAACAGTCACAAGAGATTTAGTAGTATATGGATTATTACTGGACAAAAATAAATCCTAAACAGAAATAGTTATCTAAATTGTTATATAGATAATGCCAAATTTTATTACATTAGAATAGGCTGCACACTGATGTTAGGAGAGGCAGACATCCGAACTGTGTTCGAAAACAGCATGATAAAGATGGTAGTGAACAGATAATTGAAGTTCTTGTGTATTAAGAGGCATAGAATGAAGAAGAGTCTGAGGAAAAAGTGAAGACAAACTTGGAACCCATAAGAAAAATTCCATAGTCTGTTTAGGAGAATCCAAGGATACAAAATAATATTCAAGCCTTTAAGTCTCCCACCCATCCCACAAAAGTTTATCATGCAGGATGATAAACAAAACAAAAAGAATGAGAAATCGGCACTTCATCATAGTCTTGAAATGAGAGAGGAGATAGCAAATATGCAGACCTTCCAATCAACAGAATCTGAAATTTATATGCTCCACTGGCTTAAAAAGGCATCACCTAGTAATTAGAAGGGATGTGGTCACAAAGAATAAAACCTCATCTTCAATACTGATCTTTTAATGTAGGACTGGTTATAGTATGGTCATTAAAAACACCCAAAGTTTTATTTTAAAAAGTTCTCAGAATGGTATTCAATATGTGTTCCACTATCTCAGGGGCTGCCACAAAGAAAAGGGAGTGAAGCTATTTTCCAAAGCATCTGAAGGCAGGACAAGAAGCAGTGGATGGAAACTAATCAAAGAGAGAAGCAACCTAGAACTAAGGAGAAACTTCCTGACAGTTAGAACAATTAACCAGTGGAACAACCTGCCTCCAGAAATGGTGAATGCTCCAACACTGGAAGTTTTTAAGAAGAGACTGGACAGACATTTGTCTGAAATGGTATAGGGTTTCCTGCCTGAGCAGGGGGTTGGACTAGATGACCTCCAAGGTCCCTTCCAACTTTTTATTATTATTATTATTATTATTATTATTATTATGGATCATCACACAGTCAGCCAGATATTCAGACTGGATTTGGCATTTTGTCTACCTATCGAGTCCTTACCGAGGACCTGGGATAGACAGATGTGGATGTTTGATGGTATTACAGATATCGTTGCAGGACGGATGCAGTTCCTAGTAAGGCCGCCTTTTGCAATTGACTATTGGTGAATTTGTCAATGCCAATAGTATTATTATTATTATCTTTTTTCATGAAGAGTTTTGGAGAATTAAGAAAGTTGCATCTTATACCTTGGTTGGTTTACTGGCTGAGCCATCATTGTTTTTAATAACAATTTAGTGGGTTCAATAAATGTTTTGTTATGTAAGAACCTAAGTTCTGAGTTAATTATACTAATGGTTTGGGAGTTAACAGGGAATTTGGAATTTCAGAGGTTTAAGTAGAATTAGAGGAAAATATTATAAATGTGGTCCCCAGTTTTTTGTCAAATGTAGCATCTTAAGATATAAACATCACCTCTACACTTATATACGTCCTACTGGAAAGGGGAGCCACAGAAGTAAAGACAGTGACCCCAAATTAACAGGTATAGATATCAAATTTCAAAGATGATACTACAAAGGATAGGCCTTAGCATCTATATTTCATATAAACTTTAATCAGTTATATAGAAATTTGACTAAATATGAAAACAGCAAGTAAAACAGTGTAAAACAAAATTAAAATAATAAACAAAAAGGAGACCAGGTTTTAATAAGTCAACATCAAATTTTATCTAAATAAAAGGCTTGTTCTTTTAAAAGTAACAATGATGTTAAATCTGGCAAAATTTAGTAGGCATTTCTCCAAACTGGGGGCTCTTTCTCATAACCTCACTGCCAAGCTCAGTCTTTTACCAGCTACAAATTTAAGGTATACTTTGTAATTATACTCCACTGAGTACACAGGTATATCATTTTGTATGGGATCGAATTCAATGTCTACGTTAATTCAGTGGCTTTGTTCGTGTAACACCCTGAGTCATGAAGTTGCCAGTTACCTCTTTGCGTAGGGGTTAGTTGCGCAACCTCAAAAATGACTGAGTAAACAATAAACATGGTTTTAGCTGGTCGTGGGAACACAGCCAACGCAACCTACTCCCTCCTTTCCGTCCCTCCCTCCCTCCACCCACCACAATCCCAAAAGCTACGTGGTTCCCTCTCGGGCGGAACCGCTTCAGTCCTTCCTCTGCTACAGCCCGAAGCGAAGGACCCAGAACCCTCCTTTCCCCTCCGCAGCGCTCTGCGGTGCGGAGGCATCTGGCTTGCGGCGGACCGAACCTACCAAGCGGAACTTCTCACTCCTGGCGGGTAACAGATCTGGAGAATGCCAGAAGAAAACGAAAGTACGGGTTGCGGAGCCTGACTTCTTTCACGAGCTTCCCCGAGATTGGCTGAGACAAATGAGAAGGCGGAGAGAGCGAGAGCGAGAGCGAGAAGGGGCTGGTGGGAAGCTGTTTCCTAGGTAATGTTCGCCACCGGCGCCACCATTGCTTCCCCCCCACCGCGTGTGCCTGCATCAGAGGAGTAAAAGGCTTCGCTTCCTTAGCCGGACAGCCTCTGTCGCAGCCTGAAGGCTACCTGAAGCCCAGCAGGTAGTACGGGTTACTGGCGACCGGGCTGAACAGGAAAAGCCGCCGCCACCGCGGATTCAAGGAACAGGAAGCGAGTTCGACTGCCGCCTCCAGCCGCGCTTGGCAGGTAAGTGTCTGAAACCAGATGCGGTTGGCCAGAAAGTGAAATCACCCGAGCTGATTTGGCGAGAAGGGCAGCCCGGCGCCTTTTCCTGCCATAGTGCCCGTTGCTGTCCAGCTGGGTTCGTAAGTGGGGAGGGAGCACCACGGGGAAGGCAACTCGGTGCGGAGAAGCTGTCTGCCTGCTGGGCTGCCCTTGGGAATCTCTATCCAGACCACTGACATACATTCTGTAGGTCCAGCAAACCGTCTATAGAGAGACGAGATGTAAGCAAAACAAAGGACTCCCCCCCCCGCCGCCACAAGGCTGTTTTTTTTGTTGAGGTTTTATTCTTTCGTAGATTGAGCTCAAAAAGATTGTGGCGCCATCGGAGGTGTGTACGTACGTGGGTGTATGCATTCCTGCTCTCCTCCTTTTTCTCCTCCCCAAATAATATTTAACTCCCTCGTAAGCATAGTAAGAAGGCAAAAATGTGTGTCTGACATCTTCATTAAAAAAATTGCGAGAGTAGTTTGCTTAATAAGCACAGAGGCAGACGTCTGCTGCCCTCTTTTTCAAGTGATCATGTGAAGTTTAGTCACCTCGCAATCAGTTGGGATGAACAAGAAGGCTAGAAAGAGAGCTGTGGTATGCTTAGCATAACTGCTAATGTTAAAAACCTTGGGCTTTGTAGAAAAGATGTTATCAGTTTTTGGGCATGCCATGTTCTGTAGAGTGCTATTTTTTTATTGCACCATAGCCCTGGAGGGTAAGAATCAACTGCTTCCATTTTAATGATTACAATGAGTTAAAGATTAGTAACATTTATTGTTTTTATTTAGATAATATTATTTGAGAGGATATAGCTTTCATGTTGTGATGTTTGGAACTCTTCTTACAAAAAGTTATTCTCCAGCTGTTTCCAGTTTTTCTCTTTCCAGGAAGAGGCAACAATAGTATGTAATAAAAATACACGGAAATATAGTCTAAAAATCTGGGGTTGGGTAAAAATTGCTGAATTCTCACTAATCTTTTCTGAAATTAGATGAGGATTTATAGTGTTATTTAATTAAGATAAAGATTATTGCTGTGTACAACTGACCCAAACCCGGCCCTTCCTGTTGACAGTTGGTATCTTTCTGGGTAATCCTTTGAAATTCTTAAATGAGGAAGGGGAAGTTGCTTGGGTCAATTATGTTCTCTCTTTCCAAATCCTAAGAGCTCATTGTGATACTTCTCATTACAATCTGAGAGCCTTGAGTAAATTAGTCATTTTTCTCAGTTTGCATATGCTCACTGAATTTAAGATTTTATTGAAATACAAGCCTTGCAGTTATGTATATTGCTTCATTAAAATAGCTTTTGATGATTGTTGGCAACTTTCTTATAGTATATTTATGCATTTGTGTACTTTTTGGGTGGTATTTTAATTAATAGAAAGTAGGTGACCTATTTAAATTCAGATATGGATTCATTGAGAGCAATTTTTCAAAAAGGTGTTTGTTGGCAGTGGTAGAACCAGAGTCCATATTGAGAGTTCTTGTGTTTCTCCTTCTGTCAGCCAATTTATTTTCTTTTCTTCCTCTACTAAGATGGCTATCTGATGAATACTGTAGTGTAGATCACTGTTGTAGGCAGTCTAGGCTGATGGTTTACAGGGGAATTTTTTCACTTTGGTTGTGGGTTTCAGGCTGAGAAAAACCACTCATTAAACATGATTATATTGCAAGTACTTAAGTGCTGTGAAGAATATTACCTTTACCTTGAATACACTAGAATAAAGGCATTTTGTGGCTTGATGAGCTTTTCATGGAGATAATTAGAGACAAATTGATATACAATAGTTTTAATAATACCAGCTATGGTGTCTGGAAAATAGGGAGATAATTGTCATAAAGAATAATGGTAGGTTTTCAGATACACATTCCAGTCTTGCTTGAAAATTCAGAGATGTTTGTGCAGATTCAGAAAACCTTGCTTTTATTAACTTGATTTTGTAAGCCTATTCAAGCATTATGTAAATTGGGAATTTTCACATTTGACTATTTAGATCAGCGGTTCTCAACGTTTGTGTGACGGCAGCGCGCATGCACGGCGGCGCCCCCGGAAGGGAGAAAATGGCGGATCGCCGCCTTTGGTGACCCCCAAAAAATGGTCGATCAACCCCAAATGGGGTCGCGACCCATAGGTTGAGAACCGCTGATTTAGATAGTCTTTCCTGACCAATTTATTTAAATATCATTTGCTTCTATGGTTGGTTTTTGTGGGAAGCTGATGTAATTTGTAAAAGCCAGGCCCCTCTCTTGGTAATTAATTCTACCTTCGAACTGCTCTGTTAAGAGGAAAATAAAAAAAATTCTGTTATTTGGAATTGTGCTTCTGTTGGTGCAACTTAGAAATTACATTTGCCTTTTTTGTAGGCATATCACACAGTGCCTTCTAGTGAATAGGCAATGAGATGCTATTCCAATACTTTTTTTTTCTCATCTTGTAATTATGCATTTGGTTTGTTTCTAGAAAGGTATAGTTAAAAGTTTATGCATTTTAGTCTCCATATTAGTTTCAGCTTATTTATCTAACTGCTCAAAATCATTTTGAATTTTATTGCTTCTAGAATATTTATGTCCTCTGCAAATTTGACACACCTAGTTATTCAAGTAAAAAAAAAACTTTAAAATGGAAAACTGATTTTTATAGCATTTCACTTGATGCCCCTGCTCAATTTTATGATGTACCACTCAAAGTGAACACTTTGAGTATTAATTTTCATACGATAAAGCTCTCAAGCTTGCTAATCAATGTGCCATCTGGTGTAATGTACTTTGATACAGTTAAAATGTATTTATTTGAAGCATTTATATGACTGCCCAATTAAGACACCCTATTCTAAGTGGTATAGAAGCAAGGAAAGAAAAAAAAAACAAATGCAAAAGACGACAGTTACCATTAAAATGTCCTAAATAATAAAATAGTGGCTGGAACTGAAATATACTGTAAGTCTGCAAATTGAGAACTCTGCATATCCTGGCCCAAAAGTCTAGGAAAGGACTAGTTTTAACTGTATTGGTAAATGCATGCTAACTTCTGATTATTGTATTGTACATTGATCTCTATGATCCATTATAAAGTCTTCCTAAATACAAGTGTCATTCTGAATTGTAGTTTGCTGGATCTTTACATTTCCATTTGTTCAGAATAGGAGCACCTGGTACTTCACCAGTAATTGAAGATTTCTGAAGATAATGTACAAGGATTCTGTGATACCATCAATATCGAACAGTGCAATTGTTCTGGTCTTAAGCATTGAAGCTTAAAATAATTTTTTCCACCAGTCTAGAGCTTTAATCCTGTCCTTCCCCATTTCCTTGTAGAAGATACACTTTTTTTGTTGGACTACACTGAACTAAACCAAAAGTTTTCTTTATTACCTGTTAGGTAACTCATTATGTAACCTTTGTTACTTATTCTTTAGAATCTGTTCATTATTCTAAACAGTTCCAAAGTGTGATTGAATTAATTGAAAAGATTATAGTAATCCCTGTTAAACAAAGTGATAAATAATATACAATACTAAAATATTAAAATGATAAATCTCTTAGGCAGCTATAGTAGGGTTTCTGAGTCCCAAGAAAAGAAGCCTGTAGGGACTTTCCAGGAAATGATAGAAGCACTGGGACTACAAAGTGGAAAACATGCAGGATTCTAAACGAAGGCACACACATTCACCTACCTTCTCTCTCAATTTTATTATATCATGCTAAAATGTTTCCTGAGCTTTTCAACCTTGCAATCCAATAATTTTGGAGAAAACTGTAGGCCTGTTGCATTTTCACATGCATATTTTGTTCCTCCACTCTACAAATTGTCAGGAGCAACAAAAAGATGACGAATCTGAGCATGGCATCAATTACTTAGTGTGAGAATAGTAAGAAAACTATGCTCAGATGATATTGTTTGTCTCCATATATATGAGTGAGATAGGTTGTTAAGTTTGATAAGTAAATAAATAATTATAGTATAGAATTATCTTGGAGGAGTATAAAAGAGCTTATTTGAATTTGCATTCTGTGCTTCTCTTTTCTTCCTGAACATTGAGTTATATTTTGCTCTAGGTAATTTTTTATTTGATATATGCAAATGATATATATTTTATATTAAATTTAATCAACTGCTAAGCAAGTAAACCAAATAATTCATACAACCTATCTTATTTAACTATTTATGGGGTTCATTTTAAGCTATAAATAAATAGTTGCCTTTATTTATGTAGCTTATATGCAGCTCCATTTCCCAAGATACAGAGTGGCTTACAATTAATAACATAAAACTAAAAGCACTGAGCTGCCCAGAGTTGTTTGCTGAGGTGGGTGGCTATAGAAATCAAATCAAATCAAATCAAATTAAATTATAAATAAAGAAATAAATAATAGAAAATCAGTAGCATAACCATAATAGCCACAAGGCCATAATGTGTCACCACTTGGAAAGCAAAATATTCAGGCATTCCAAATAATTTTATGAAAAGCTATGTTATCATGGATCTTTGAAAAATATAATAGAGTTTGAGTATCTGAGTTAAAAGACAGAGTGTCATCACAAAGAAAGTTCAAGCACAGAGTTCCTGTAAACATCTCTCTAGATTTGGGATTTTCCACAAATCCTTCCTACTACATCTCACTGTGTGGGCAAGATCATTTCTGAGAAGATTGTCATGAAGATATCCAAGACTGAGCCACAGAGGTTTTAAAGATAATAACTGTTAACTAAACTAACTGGAGTTTCTAAATAGTTTTCAAGAGCAGCTCTGTATAGCATAAATTATAATCATCCTACGCAAGGTGGCCTTATCAAAGCTTCCTGTTCCAAAAATGGCTACAACAGATGTATTTGCTCCTCCAGTCCACAGGCTCTACCTGCTGTTCAAGAACAAGCCATGATACAGGAGAACTCCCATATTACAAAGCCAGAGCCATTGTGAGAAGTGCAACCAAACCAAGTTGAAGGGTCTCTTTGCCACCACTATTCTA